AGAATCAGAAAATGGGATTATATCGAATTGAAGTGCTTCTGCACAGCAAAGGAAGCAGAGAAGTGAAGAGAGAGCCTGAAGCCTGGGGAAAAATCTCTACTAGTTATCCTTCTGATGGAGAATTAACATCTAAACTATCTAAACAACTCAAAAAGTAACTAGAAGCCCTCAGATGGCCCAATGAATAAATGGGCAAAGGAACTGAATAGGTATTTCTCAAAAGAAGGTGTGCAAATGGCCGAAAATTATATAAAAATGTTCAAAATCTTTAACATTGGGGCAATGGGAATCAAAACAACACTGAATTTCATCTCACCCCAGTCAGAATGGCTATGATCAAGAATACAAAGAAGAAAAGGAAGAGGAGAAGGAGGAGGAGGGAGGAAGAGGAAGGGAAAAGAGGAAGGAGGAAGAGGAAGGGAAGGAGGAAGAAGAGGCGGCGGCGGAGGAGGAGGAAGTGGAGGAAGAGGACGAGAAGAAGAACAACAAGGCGTCCGGAGAAGACATGGCAAAAATGGAACCTCCCTACAGGATAGGTGGGAATTAAGCTCATACAGTCAATATAGAAATCTGTATGGAAGTTGCATAAAACTGTAAAAATAGAAATATCATCGGAATAGTTATATCAAAGAATTAAGAACTCAAACTATGGTGATAGTTTCATGGCTGTGTTTACAGTGGTGCAACTCAGCACCTAAGCTGTGGAAACAAATGAATGGGTAACAAAAACGTGGCATATAAACACGGCGGAATATTATTCAGCCGTAAAGGCAAGTGAAATCATGTCACTCTTGGGAATATGGATACAGCTGGAGAAGATCATGTTGTATGAAATAGGTCAGTCTCAGAAAGTTAGATGCTTCATGCTTTCTTTTATATAAGGAATCTAAAAACAAATAAATAATGACAGGGAATTAGAAGGCAGACTTTCAGAGTTGGAGAAGGGAAGTAGGGGAGGAGACGGACAGCAGGTTAATGGGGATGACAATAACAAAACGGCATACATTATTTTGTACTCCCATGTGCAGTAACAAGAAAGAGCACTGCTACTTTGTTAAAACGCCTTTTCCAAGAACATTTTCACATGTCCAAAGTCTCTCGCAAATTTCCTTCAGACAATTTGCTTTACTGTGCCCATACGGAATGTTTACTCATCTACACAAATAACTCATACCAACCAGCAAAGAGGCTCCCAGCTGAGTTGTCCTGATATCCACAGGCCTGCAGATGCCTTATACAGTCACATCATGTGCACCCCGTGGTGTATCAGAAGATATCTTGTAATACACCACAATACCAACAAAAATAGCAGCTGCCCCAAACCTTGCTTATTTGAATGTCATGATTAAGTTTTAGGACTGAGGCTCTATCACATGTAGTTGATTCTCAGTTGGACAGATGAAGAGATGGGCACATCTTTAAAACCACTCTTGCTTTATCTTGGTCTTAATCATCCAGCAGAAAAGTATAAAAACGAAGTATAAGAAGTAAAGCCATGCTGTTATGTTGAGCTGTAGGGGACTCAGGTCAGCAATTTCTGACATTGCCAGTCAAGTGGAAGACCCAATACTATTATGGACTACTGGACTCTTTTGGAATATTTTGCTGAGTTAACACACCTATAATATTCAAATAACGGAACTAAACAAAAAAAAAAAAAAGAAATACAGATGAATGTCCATTTTGTATCTGTGTATTCAAAATGATTAGAATAGATATATAGTTACATTCTCTTAGTGAATAGAGGGATTTATTCTAATAGTGTTTGTAAATAGGATATCATGTCCACATCTTGTACAGCAAATAACCACTAGGAAGAATGTATGCAATGTGTTAATTATTGAAACTGTCCTACTAATTTGGCTTGAAACTGTCTCATTGCTATTTGTTTATCAATAAAATCATGGAAAAAAATTCAAAACAAAAAAACCACTCATCGCAATTAATGGCTGTACTGGGATGCTTTACTCGAAGGGAAAGAAACCAACAGCTCTACTCCCTATGGCATTCAGCTCTGGGTTAAGCCCATGGGTCATGCAGACACGCAGTCCTTGCAATACCCTTGGGGAACAGAAATTATTTTATCAACTTTATGTGAGGAACTTGAAGTCAAAGAGATACAGTGTCTTGTGTCAGATTATATAGCTGTCTTCTGCAGCCAGGATTCATCGAACTCTGTCTGACTCCCAAGCCCTGATGGGTCCCTTCTGCTGTAAGCTGGCTCCACTGAGGAACTCTGTCTTTTTTTTCCACTGGTTGAATATTCCTTACCTGAAGTGCTCAGGACCTGAAGCATTGCAGATTTTGGATATTTTCATGTCTTGGGAAACTTTCCTATATGTAATGATATGTCCTTGAAATGGGGCATAAGTTTAAACAAAAAATTTATTTATGGTTCATATTTATGGTTCATAGCCTGAATGTAATATTATACATTTTAAGCAATTTCTTGTATTTTGACTGCAGCCTGCCATCTGGGTCGGGTACGGTGTTCTCCACTTGTCGTATAATTGATCAAACAGTTTTGGATTCTGGAGCACTTCAGATTTCAGATCTTTGGACTGGGGATGCCCAATGTCTTTTAAATGAAACAAGGTTAAACAGTGATGATCCCATTGTAATCATGATCACTGTTCGTCCTTTAGGTGCGATTTTTATTGCCCTGCTAACTTGTCGTTCCTGTTGTGAGGGCTTCTAACCCTAAACACAAGCTTGCAACGCGCAGATGAAGTTCTGGAGCTGCGAGGGACTCTGCACGCTCTAGTCGCTCTCACTGCGGCATGTCCTCCTCTTACAGAGGAGGGAGCACAGTTCACTAGGCATGAATAACGCGCTCAGTGTCTCGAGGTGACTGAGCAGGTGTGACGCAACCTTGTGCCTTGGGTTCTTTTCACATTCTTTTCAGTTTAGCAATCTTAAAATCGTACAACATCACATTTGAATTAAGTAACCTGAAATTCTTCAGCTGAGAAGTGAGCTGACTAGTTAAGGCGATATACAACCGGGCTTCCCACTTGAAAATGGGTCGCCTAATACTTCTGAAAAAGACTTTTAAAACCTCTTTTACATGGGTAGTGTTCCACATTCTTATGGTATTGGATTCCCCCATTTTTCTTTTTCTTCTTCTTTTTTTTTTTTTTTTTTTTTTTTTTTTTTTTTTTTTTTTTTTTTTTTTTACATAAAATATAACAGTGCACAACCCTGGGCCTGCTTTTCTTGCCTGGGAGATTTTGCTCAATTGGTATACAAGAAATACATGGCCTTAGTAGGTCAGGAACGCTTCCTGGAGGTTCTCTAATTAGATTTAAGAACTATAATGCTTTAAGAAACTCATAAAAATAGTGACATTTAATATTAAATACACAAGCTGAGAACATTTGGAGTAATAAAATAAGGGAATTGCAGATGACCTGGGAAATTAATTTTTCATTTCTAACCTGTCTCCATATCTTGGAGCTCTTATGATCCAAACTGAAGTCTACACTGATTTTCATAGTCAGTGTTTCCACTGGTGATGCAAAGGCAAAGTCAGCCTGGCTTTATTTTTCTAACAGTAAAATACATACTAATTTACAAAACTGCTTGTACTGTTATTGTCTTTATGGGTGGTGATTTATCCATCTATTCAGCTCATTTTAGTCTAGTTTAATAAACCTTTTACAGTAAGAATGAAATAAAATAGGTAGTTCATAATGTAGATAAAATGGGTAACATCCAATTGTTACTCTTTAAAAACTTCTCTTGGCTATAAGTACATTATTCTGCTTTCAGTATATATACATTTTCACCTTAAATATACAGATACATAAAAACATAAAGATTTGAGGTCTTATAAGAGTTATAAGATTCCATCTATAAGTCTTTTAAAACTTAATATTCCGCGTCAGATGGATTCTTTCTGAAAGACGCACCCAGTCTATACGTTCAACACCCAAGAGCAGGCTAGCTAAGGTCACTATTTTATAACCTTGTAGCGCTATGAATTCTCAAGTCACATATCTAGAGCATGAATAAATTTTAAGCTGTAGAATAAGCTTTCTGAAGTTCTGCAGAGATGGAAATATAACCTATCTGGCTCCTATGGAAAGCAACATCAGTATGCCATTAGGACTGCCTGAGACAATCTGGAACTCACAGCACCACAATTCGGGGGCTAAATCAAGCCCAAGTGTCTTGAGTTTGAATCACTTCACATCTATCAATTAGATTATTCATTAAGTTCTCCCATTTCTTCAAGCTCAAACTCTACCCAACTCAGTATCCACCTTAGGTGACTCGCCTTCCAAAACCATTTCTTGAAATAGTGAGCTGGGAGCCAGCACCCTCCTACAGGTGCCAGCATAAGTGTTCTCTCCCATGAGAGGCTTTCTCCTTGCCTTGTACTTCTTTGCTGATACACTGTATTTCTCTACCAGACATGAGCTCATCCAGTGGCCAGTGGAGCCACATCAGTTTCATTTCTTATATAACTTGCTGGTAGTAGGTTCCCATCCAGAGTATGAAGGATATATTTAATAATTTCTGTTAGCTACAAAAAGTTTTAAAAGACAATGAAAGCACTATTCACAAGTATTTTCGGAAGCCCTTGGTCAAGAAAGAAAGCAAGCCACAAGAGCAGAAAATTCTTCAAGATGTAAGTCATAGTGACTGGCACAGAAAGTGCCACACTCCATTTCTCCACCTTTATATACTCTCCTGATGATCAAATGTTAATAAAATATTTATCTTCAGTTGTCACGAGACTGACTTTGATTTAAAACTCTTGGGTACATGAATGTCATGCCAGACCAGAAATACACTAACATGTATCTTTAGTTTGAACACAGATGTGTAAAAAATTTATCTATGCCAGATAGGAACAAATTTGAGGGGGAAATCTCCCAGTAGTCACCACAAGTAAGAACACAGAATCTCAAAGTGATAGTTAGATTCCCAAAAGCGTGCAAAGCAAAGCATTCAGTTTGTAGTTTTGAAGTGACACATAAGATGCCTTCACTTACCTTTAGGGAATCAAAGCAGGCAATGACTCTTCCATTTTCAACCTGACAACTTTTTGGGGGGTGAGCAAATTTGCATTCCTCATCCGAGCGTGAGCACGTTCCTCTCTGGAACTGTCTGCAGACTTCTAATGTCAGCCACTTTGTATCTCTGACTGGAGCAACGTTCAAAGCCATGATGCGAAAGTACTTTGGGCTGTTAGTTTCTGCTGAAGGAAGAAATCAATCCCAGTTCCAATGACTCCAAAGCTACTGGTGTGAAAACTCCCACATGTAAGTCCGCAGGTAAGTGATAAGTTGCTTAATGAAGTTCAATCCAGGAGACGGAGCACTGAGAGAATCTATTGGCAGGCAGTCACACATCAATCAATATGCCCCACTTGAAGACTTCAGGCCGCAATAAAAACATGCTCAGTGTCATCTCTGGCTTTCTGTGCCTGAGCCTCTTGACTGTCTTGCAGATGTAAGTGTTTTTTAATAAAGTGGCTTTAATATCATGGCACTCCTTCGGAGAATATTCAGTTTTGATGCTCAGCTCGGGTGCTGCTGGGAAAGAAGCCTCTCAGACACTCATACTCTAGTAGATCTCCTTCCTGCGTTCCGCTGAAATTCTGAAATTAAGCAATTGGCAATGTCAGACCACTGAGGTATCTTCATCCACTCATAAGGTCAGGGTAAAGTGTACTTGACAGAAAAACGAGATGTGAATGTAAAAGGAGCTCCCAGTCTGCAGCAAAAGTGACTTCGCACAGGCACTCTTAAATCATGAACCTGCAAAACACAACAGAACATCAACTTAGTCCCAAACTCAGTGGAATCAAGACTTGCACAAACTGTTAAGCCCTTGTCTAGAATTTGCAAAAATGCAGTTCAGAGCTTTAGATACAGTGAGAAAAGTTATGCATTCAAAAAGAGAAGAATATGCATCCAAAACCGTATTGCAGAAGGATCTAGGCAATAGTCCAAAAGTTAGGAGTGACTCAAACGGATGAGTGTGGCAGACACAATAATTAGGGCCTTCTGCAACAATTCAATCTAATGTGCTTAATCGCAAAATAGTGTATTACAACTGAGGCTCCCAATTAATTTCACATTTAGGTCATTGATTTTATTGTTGGGAATCCTATAAACAATCATTTGGGATGTGTCTCTTCTCTGCAACAAAGACATTGTCATTTTGGGTTAGGCACGGGTGCCTGTTCTTTGTGTTATTTCTTGCTTTCAGAGATTTGACCTGCGAGGTAGCTAGGTAGGAGCCTCTCGGTGTTTATTCTGTGATCTCTTACAGAATAAGAGATCCCTCCTGCTGTTATTTGCTCAACGTTAGCCTCCCCTTATACGGGGAGTACTTTTACAGCAAAAATGACTTTCTGTAGTTTCCTGTGTCTTGAGTGCTTTGGCTCATGTTATCTATTAGGTCTCAAGAAACAAATACTGACAAATTTATCTAATGAATGAATGCAAGTTAATTTTAGTTGAGTTCAGTTTAGTTTTTAACCAAAATACACTCTAAAACATGTTCTCTTGTATGGAGCCTGCAATTAAAACATACATACAATGAAAATGTGGTAAGTTCAGATTTCTAAAGTCAGCACATTTCATTTCTCTTAATTTTTCCAAAGGTTATGAAATTATTAAAACATTATAAATTTAACACTACCAAGATGAATATGAAAAAAGACTGCAGCCCAGAAGATGGTCATTCTCAGAAACTGTATATGCCATAAGCTATCTTATATAATTGCTTAGCTGGGTCATTCTCCTAAAAAATACACAGCAGAGAATTTAATGCAGATTGGAAGTAGATTACAGTTGTGTTGAATAATGACATATTGGTTAATGACAAACCAGATACATGCCTGTGGTCTCATAAGATCAAAATTAAGCTGAAAAATTCCTATCACCTGGTGGCATCTTAGCCCTTTTAACCGTGTTAGTACATTGCTGATATAAACAAACTTACTGCAGTGCCAGTCATATGAAAGAATATGGCACATGTAATGCGATAACGTCATTACTACTTGATAATGCCAACAAATAAGTGACTGTTACTTAATTTATTTGCTACACTATGCCTTTTGTCACTATTTGAAAGTGTACGCTTACTTATAAAAAAGTATAAGTTACACCGGCAGCACTTGCAGCACCTCTTTTTGACATCTCTCTTGCTTGTATCGCAAGCTCACTTGGAGCCGCATACCATCTCGATGAAGTCCAGGTAGCTGGGCACACCAAGCCCAACCGGCTTCCCTGCAGTCCTGCTTTTCCTATCCTTGGAAGCATTACTGGGCTCACTCTGTCTCCAGTGAGGGAGGAGCAATCACGGTCTCTCCAGCTTATCTGATCAGAGTCCTTGTGTTTAGAAAGTCTTCCCTTTGGCCCAGCGATGGGTGATGCCACTTCATCCCCATCACTTTTACTTGTTTACAGAAGTGTTTTCATGAGTTAACGTGCATGTGCATTGAAGAGAACCGGCAGCGCTGAAAGCTGAGACACATGCCTAACTCCAATTATAAAATATTTGAGGGAGCCAGGCAGGCTCCTGCTTGTCTGTTTGGCAGCATCAGTTCACAGCATCCACATAACTCACTTCAGTCGAGCAGCTTAGGAAGATAAGTCTAACAGCCAAATTTACTCTGGGTCAGGTTTCCTAGGCCAGCCTGGACCTGTGTCCCTGTCACCTCCACTCCCAGTAGAGAACAAAGGACGAGGGAAGCAAGGGCCAAGGGACACAGCTGCCAGTGTCTGCGGAGATGGGCAGTAACGCTAGGGGGACGGCAAATCACAGGCCGAACACAGTTCACATTTGCAAAATGTTACAGAGAGTTCCTGAATCCTGAGTGGGACCATAAAGGGGAAGCCCACGCTTATCCTCAGAGGGAGCGGCATGTCCCTTAGGGTTCACATGTAGGAGCAAAACAGGCAACAGTATTTCTTCATGGAGGATGTGAATACTCAGATATTCCTAAGAGCCAGACAGGACCAATGCTTCCAATCCAGACCAGGATAAGCTTTTGCATAGACCTTTCAATGCAAGGAGACAGCTCCCCCCTAGAGAAACAGACTCTCATTGCTAGTTATAATAAAGCCTGAGCAGAATTTACAGGGTCAGGTTCTATCCAAACCAACTTAACTTTTAATTTAATGACAAATAATAGTATGTGCTTATCAAGTATAACACAATGTTTTGAAGGAAGTATGTATTATGGATCATCAACATATGCGCTGCACACATGCTTATCATAGTTTGGAGGTGAACACTTAAAAGCTACGCTCAGTGGTTTTCAAGAACACAATAACTTGCTGCTAACTACAGTCAGTGTGTTGTTGACTTGCCCCTCCTGTTTAGCTGAAATCTTAAACTACTGATTAACATTGCCGCTCCTTATTTCCTCCTAGCTTTGGCAAGCACCTCTCAACTCTCTGCTTCTGTGAGTTGATTTTCTTTTTTTAGATTCTGCATATAAATCTTTAATATACACTTGCTTTTAAAAGCAGGGGTAGCCAAGGTTTCTGGTGGCCAAGTCCCTTATAAATCAAAGACGTTCTGGAAAGAAAGACGGATGATCATTTTGCACATGAACATGCTGCTAGTAGAATCCCTCAGGCACCAAGTCTTTCACCTAACTTGTTCTTCTTCCCAGAAGAACATTATACAGCTGGCTATCAAAGGCACCGCCTCCTTTAGGCTGCAGCGACAAGTGGGTACAGGCCAGAGGCCGTGGGAACCAGAGGAGAAGCAGACTTGAGCCAGCTCAGGATGAGGCCTCCACAGGAGCTGAACAATGGCGGACAAGGGTGGAAAGACCACATTCTGAGTTGTTATCGAGGGACCAGCTAATGCACACCAATGCAAAGAGGTAACTGAACGCCAGGCCTACCAGACTGTAGGTATCTAAGAGGAAAGGCCAGGTGTCGGGCTGTGCCGTCCAGCACAGGAGCCACCAGCCACGCGTGCCCGTGCACGCAGCGCAACTGAAGACCTACATTTAAAATCTCAAGTCTATCAGTCTGCTCTTTTCACTTATAAACTTGAGGAAAGCTAAACACAGATCAAATATTTCCAGTTAAAACTGGCATCCAAATGGAGATGCATTTTAAGTATAAAATATCCACTGAATTTGGATTTGGTATATGAAAAGAATGTCATACAAGATAGTTAAGACATTTTATCTACTAATTTCTCTGAGTTCATTGGAAAGGAAGCTTTTGCTAAAATTGTTGGGACAATGAAATGCCTGTTATCTTGTACTCAGAGTTACTAATTTGGAGATATCAATATGCAATGTATTAACAATTGTTACCCTCCTATTATCTTGTTTGAAATTTTGCTTTATTTTTTTCTCTTTAAAGTTAGGAAGAATACTACAATATGTTATGAATATGGTCTCATTTATCTCAGGGTGATCTGAAAATGTTTTAATACATTGGGTTAAAGATGATTACAATAGGGCCGGCCAAATAGCTCAGCGGATTAAGCACCTTCAAGCAGGCACCTTCAAGCAGGCGCACGGGCCGGGGGTTCCCTCCCTGAGCCTGCTGTGTCTGCCCCAACCTCTGGGGCACACTGAAATGGCAATTGAGACTGGGTGTGGTGGCGCACCTGTAACCCCGGCTCTTGGGAGGCTGTAAATAGGCAGATCACTGTGAGTCTGATCTAGTAGTGAGACTACGAACACCCTATACAACTTCCCTAAAACACACACACACACACACACACACACACACAAAGATGATTACAATAATATCTCTTGCTCTTTGTTGCCCTTAGAAAATTCAGATTTGTATACATAGCTCCCATAATATTTCTTTTTTCTTTTTTAAAAATAATTTTATTGAGAAAAAATAGCAATGAGACAGTTTCAAAAACCAATTAGTAGGACAGTTTCAATAATCAATACATTGCATATTGTTGTCTTCTTAGTGGTTATTCATAGTACAAGATGCAGACATGATATCCTGTCCATAAACACTATTAGTACAAATCTTTCTTCTCATTGAATTAAGAGAAAGTAGCTGTGTATCTATCTATATTTCTCTTGACAACACTCTCACATGGAATTTTCTGGGATGGTGGAAAGTACCCAGTCTAAGAATCTGCTTCCAGCTTTTGTTTGGCCAAGGCTCTTCATTATTTATTCTTGCTGAGTTAATTTTTCTGAGGTCAACCTTATTTACCTATAAAATACTGATAATAGACTGCCTATATTTACACGGGGAAATATAAAAGTTCTTTGTAAAAAGTCAATATTCCAATGTAAGGTGATTAAAAAAGAGTTCATACATAGTTTTCTTTTTCCTGTTTAGTACAAGGTCTACAGGGTCTTACTACATAGGTTGGACTCGTAGTAATTCTCCTGTTTTCAGCCTCCCAAGAACAGGTATTACAGGATCGAACCCCAGCCGCTGCACTCTGCCTAAGGAGGTGCTTTAGTTGCCTGAACTATCTGGCCGGCCTTCTATACATATTTTTCAATGAAATCTAGTTGCAGGCTTCTTTCTTTCTAGCAATGAAGTGTGGATGACCAGGACTGAGTCTGGGGTGCATCTGCCCTTGCACAGATCCTGAGAGCAGGGGCAAGAGGCCTTAGAGATCACAGCCCTGGCTGCACAGGGCACCCGGGGCCACTTATCCTCTCTGGCAGCCCTCCAATCTTCATTCTGCAGCCCAAGGAAACCACAGAGATTTCACTGCTTCCTGACTCTGGCCGCTGCTCACCCGGAAGTGAATGGAGGGCCCCATGGCCCCAGCAGTCCAGGGCAAGGAGTGC